CATACTTAGGCCTGATGACAACAAGTACGTGAGCATCTGATGTTGACAGAAACACAAGGGTGCAGAAGTCAGCCAAAGAGACACAGACATCTGTGTGTGTGTCAATGTATTTATGTGACAGACATGAGGGGGTGAATCGCATGAAAATATGTCTAAAAAAAGGCAATATAATTGTCATTATATAAAAAAATTATTATATAAAATATTACAATATAGAATTACAATACAAAATAATTTTTATTATAAAATTATTATAATAAAAAAATTATTACAAATACTATATATATAATGAATTGTAGCATTATTTACAATTTATATATATATACTATATTTTTACACTTTACTATTGTATTTTTTAGATATTTTTTTTATAATTCACTATATATATATATATATATATACTTAAAAATTATCATAATTATACTAATATATATATACACACACACACACACACACACACATACACTACATACTAGTATACTTGTATATATATATAAATAAATTTTTTTCTGTGTATGTTCTTTTTTTAAAAAAGTTAAGCAGATTTTTCCCCTAAATTCTCCTTACAATAATACATTCAGATACATATAACAGATACATGCATTTACGATCTGCTGTATCATTCAGGAAAATGGACCAAACATTTTTACTGTAATACTGATCTTGTGTATAGAAGCCCTAAGAAAGACTTTTATTTTCTTTATGCAAATATTCTTTTGATTCTGGCATTAAATGTAACCCGGGCATGGTCTTGTGAGGTTCACCCGAGCGTGTGTGTGTGTGTGTGTTTAGGGAGGCCCCTGAGCTGAGAAAATCATGTTGCTGTCAAACACTTTAGAGGAGGATGAGTGAAAAAAAGACAAGGACGAGAGAGAGGAACAATCAGGCAGCAATTGACAGCACTCTGATCTAGTGGCATACAGGCATCGTCAGATTGACAGTACTCTAGCCCAATAATGTTGGGGGATCCAGTGGGGGCGGCAGTCATATTTCAGGGTGACCGTGCCACTCTTTATCACAACCCTGCTAAAAGTGCCAGTACGTGCGCTCATTGGCGCCCCTTCAGCTGGTGGCGCCCTAGGCGACCGCCTAGCTCGCCTATGCCTAGAAACGGCCCTGCACACACACACAAAGCTCTGTATTAGCCCCCTGTGTGTCATAAACACACAAATATGGAACAAATCTGGCTGCAGTTTTGCATTAGCGTGAGGGTGAGAGATTTTCCCTGTGCATGTGTGTCTGTTCAATAACAACAGTGTCATACTGTGCAGATCTTCTCTCTTCCATGTTGCATTTTTATACAGGCCTGTGAATCTCTGATTTATGAATGAAGCTAAGAAAAACTACAATATTCTGTAGAAAATGCCAACTCGCTTCTACAGTGCTAGGGTGTTATTTTGGTTGCTAGGGCATTGTGATGTGGTTGCTAAGGTGTCTGGAATATTTAAGCAGTTGCTAGAGTGTCCTAAGGGGTTTTAAACAGATAATCCACCTAAAAATAAAAATCTTGCACTGATCTACAGTACAATAGAGAACTGGATTGCTCATGACGTCATAAAAATGAAGCCACCGTGCCACTATATTGGTATTCCCTAGTATTCCCATACATTCTATTGAATTAATCATATGATCATAATCATATGATTTTAATGAGAAAACATCACAGATGAGATGCTCAACATATGTATTACAAATGATAAAGCGCTCATTCTGAAATCTGAATAAAGATTTATGCTTTGTATACACGTATACCTTAAGTCACTGTTTATGTATGTTTATGTTGTTTTATTGTTTTTATTCGTACAGGCTAACTGCAAATGTTTCAACAAAGATTTCTTTAACAGCATTCATTTTGAAGCATGTAATGATTTAAACATTGGTTAAATTAATAATTAATTCAACATACATACATAACATTTTACTCCTACGGAAACGGTAATGCTAGTAAAACGCTACAAAATTTGCACGATCTTGAAGAGTCTGAAATATATGTTGCTCAGTCAGTAAATAAAGCACACGCATCATAACTTATATATATATATATAACACTGACTGCATACGGTACGGACTTAAAGCCATGAAGCTTTCTTTCCCAGATGTTGTCATTAACTGACCCTCATGTCGTGTGTACGTACGTGTGTGTGTGTGTGTGTGTGACTCACATGGGAAGTTGTACATGAAACAGGCCTGCGCCACTATGATCCACTCCGCTCTTGTCTCGCAGAAGATGGCAATGTTTTTCAGAGGTTTCTGTCCTAGAGCAGCCAAACCGCTGCCGAAAGCTCTCATTTCTTTATACACCTGATCATACGACATCCAGCGATACTCTCCCAAAATCACCTACAGAGAAACACAAAGGGTTTGAAACGCTTTATTTTCTGCTCAACTGCTTTTCGCGGAAAAGAGACCATCGCTCACCTGTTCCGTTCAGTCCTTTCTATCAACTTTTTTCCACATCATTGGATCAGACTTTACAATTTTATAGATCAACAGCTCCTCCTATTGGATCATTATATAGTCACAATTCATTGAGAATTTATAGGAATCATTTTCTACATTTTTGCACCAGTTAAATTTTTTTCTCCTTGTTCTTTTTCTCTTCCTTCACTTATAATGTAAACCAAGATTTAAAAATGTAATTTAAAATTTTTTAATTATAATATACAATTATAAAATTGATACAAATATACTGACTTTTACAATTAAAGATAAAAAGATAAGTAAAGTTGCTGAGTATTGGATAGTTTAAACTCTTTTCAGAATAGCAACAAAAAAATCTTTTGATATGATATGAAAAAGGTTAATGTACTATGTAGCGATACTTTAACTTTTACAAATGCAAAGTATTATTATTGCTATTATTTTAATACTATTATTTTACATATTAATTTTTCTCTCCTGTATATAAAAGAAAACATTTTTACAATTTACCATATATTTTTAAACTATATACACACACACACACTCACTAATGTTTTATTAAATAAAGTTGCTGAGTATTGGATAGTTCAAACTCTTTTCAGAATAGTAACAAAAAATATTTTGATATATGAAAAAGATTAATGTACTATGTAGAGATACTTTATCTTTTACAAAGGCAATGTATTATTATTATTATTATTATTATTATTATTATTATTACTGAGGATAGTATTATTACTTTTAACACTATTATTTGTAATATTTATTGTTTTCCTCTCCTGTATTGTACTGCTGTCACTGACTTTTTGTGCACATGATAAATAAACTCGAAACTTAAAAACTCACTCCACAGTGCTTTTAAAGCATATATCAACATTTATAGACCTTTATATATCAATGCCATATTATTTATATTATATAAATATTTATATATCATTATCAATGTTCATTATTCAGAAAATGTACAAGGATGTTGTCACTTCTACATGCAAAGAATATCCGATCATTTACGTATAATAATCTTAAAGGTACAGACAGCAGCCTGTTAAATTCAAAAAGTTGTAAAATGTTGCCTTCAGGATAAAAAATAAAATGCACTGAATGTGCAGAGTATCAGATATGTGTTTTAGACGTTGCTGTGGAGTATTCAAACACATCAGAACCAGAATAGGGTAAGAATAAAGCACTCTCTTAAACAGTGTTAGCAGAAAATCAACACAGCAAGCCGAAACAAACACCCAGCAGCTGTTTGTGATATATAATCAAGCTCTTCTCAAGTTACACAACAGCAGCAGCACATGTTTGGCAGCTTTAGTTGAGTAACAGCAGCATCACAGCAGAATATTATTACTATGTGAGCTGCTCCAGCGCCGGACAATAGGATTACCATCAGAACTGAGAGATCATTCACATGCTGCAGGTCAGTTTGTTACAGACCGGCTGATTTAAAGGGTCATGACATGGAAAACAAGATTTTCTCTACCCTTTTGAAAACTGAGTTTGATGTATTATGTAGACAGATTTTCACACAATACAAAACAAAACTCCCTTACTAGTCCACTCAGAACATTTATTAAAACTAAACTGCAAAAACAAGTAATTCAAATCACATTTATGGCATTAGCTAATTAACTTTAGGCCCAATTTTTGAATATATGTTTATTATGATTTGTCCAATATTTAAATATATGTTTATAGTAATTTTTCCAATATTTGAATATATGTTTATTATAATGTGTCCAATATTTGAATATATGTTTATTATAACTTGTTCAGTATTAAAATATACACCACCAGCCAAAACTTTGGAATAATTACGATTCCAAAATTATGATAATTACGAATAATAACAACGGTTTCTTAGGCTCACCAATGTTGCATTTATTTGATTTTATTCAGCAAGGATACATTAAATTGATCAAAAGTGACATTAAAGACATTTATAGTGTTACAATAGATTTCAATAAATTTCAAATAAATGCTGTTCAATGAAGTTTCTGTTCATCAAAGAATGCTGAAAAGAGTTTCACATTTACCAGAAAAATATTAAGCAGCAAAAACATTGATAATAAAAAGAACCATTATTAATAATTGAGGACCAATAGTAATTGATAATAATTGAGCAGCATATTAGAGTGATTTCTGAAGGATCATGTGACACTGAAGACTGGAGTAATGATGCTGAAAATTCAGCTTTACATCACAGGAATAAATTACATTTTACAATATATTATAATAGAAAACAGTTATTTTAAATTGTAATAATATTTCACAATATTACAGTTTTTACTGTATTTTTGATCAAATAAATGCAGCCTTGGTGAGCAGAAGACTACATTAAAACATTAAAAAAATTATTATTCTAAACTTTTGTCAAGTAGTGTTTGCTTATTATAATTTTAAATTATTAAATTATTAATAAATTATTATAATTTGTGACCAAAAGTAGCATACACTAGGCAGTGCACATTTAATTTAGTGTCTAATTGTTACTAAATGATTTTAGAAAGGCACTTTTGCATCTCAATTGATCCAGTTTTCAGCAAGTTTTCAGTGACTAAAAGTGAGACATATTCATAAAAACCAAACTATGACTTTGGTGCAAGCAAGCTTTAAAGGGGTCATATGATGCTGCTAAAAAGAACATTATTTTGTGTATTTGGTGTAATGAAATGTGTTTATGCGGTTTAAAGTAAAAAAAACACATTATTTTCCACATACTGTACATTATTGTTTCTCCTCTATGCCCCGCCTTTCTGAAACGCGTCGATTTTTACAAAACTAATCGGTCTGAAAAGCGAGGTGTGCTCTGATTAGCCAGCTATCCAGTGCGTTGTGATTGGTATCTCTTTGGATTTGAGACTTTAGTCTTTACAACTTTACAGATCTTCTTTATGCACCAAGAGCTTGTAACACTCCAAAGAGAAAGGAAAAAATGAAATCGCATCATATGACCCCTTTAACTGACGGTAAAAGTAGACATCAGGGGAAAAGAAACTACAAAAGTGTTGCTCTTCAACACATCCGAGAGAGTTTTGAAGGGCAGAAGTGTAAGATCTTTGGACTTACAGACAATACGCACCTTCTTGAAGACTCTTCCATCCTCTTGAGTTTCGTCTTCCTCACTCAGCAGTTCTCTGGTTCCCAGGCAGTTGAGGTGAGGATTGCGGCACACAGACGATTCAAACACCCGATCGAGTGTGCTCACCCCCGGCTGTAGGCATGTGGCCAGCGCCCCCAGCGCTCCGACGTCCCGGTAGGGTCCCGAAGGGTGTCCGCTGATGGAACGGGCCTTCACCCTCCGCGAGCACTCGGAGAACGACTGCGAGTCGGACGATCTCAGCAGCAGGTACAGCAGGTAAGAGATGAGAGAGTAGAGCCAAACCACCAGCCTGAATATGATAACCACTACTGGACTCACATCTTGCTTCAGCCTCATACTGACTGAATGAAACAGAAAGAAACATACGAAGAGCGAGGGAAAGATAAAGGAAGTGTCGTGATGTCACTTCCTCCCAGGTTGTCCTGCTGCTTCCTCTCCGATGGGTCAGAGAAGTCTGTTTTCTAAACAAGAAATGCAAGCAGTCAATCTTCCATGTCATTAAACACACTAACACTGAACGGCATCAGAACATTCCAGTAAAGATCAGTACATGGAAATTTCACAATTTTGACCTTTCTGAGCCCCTTCCACTTTAACAAAGATGCATGGAGGAGAGACAGATTAGAAAGCGGTACAAATAGCGGTGTGTAACGTCTGATTCTCAGCCCAGATTTCAGCACAAATCCAAAAGTGGGTGAAAGGTGACATCAAATAAGCATGTGCATGGGGTTTTGTGAGTGTGGGTCAGGGTTATTATTGTTAATTAAAAATAAAAAACCATAAAAAAATGCATTACTTTAAATAAAATAAAAATTAACTGAAATAAAATATCAAATTATTTTATTTAATCTAGTTGCCAAGGCAACATTTCAAATTTTCCTTTAATTTGAAGTACTAAAATAACTAAAGAACTACAGACATATTTAAAACAACAACAACAATAAGTGACAAATACACAACAAAATGATTAAATCTTTACCTAAAATGAAAATATAAAATATTAACAAAATATTCACAGGGTGATTAAATGATGACAGAATTGTTATTTTTGGGTGAACTATCCCTTTAATTGAAATAAAGCTGAAATAAAATATAAAAAAATGATACTAAATGAAAATTGTGAAATGCTGACCTGGTAACTAACTGAAATAAGTATTTAAGTTGAAGTGTTTACTATTGTCCTCTTGCATTATCGACACACTATTTTCCAGTTTAACACTGTAAAGCTGCTTTGACACAATCTGTATTGTACAAAGTGCTATACAAATAAAGGTAAAGGTGACTTAACTAAAAACACTAATTGAAATAAAATTAAAACATAAAAAATAACAAAAACTTAAATAGAAATGAGATATATTTTTAATATTTAGAAATATTCAAATACTAATAAAAATAACAAAAAGCACATAATATAGATGTTTAAAATAAAAAGACATAAAAAAATTAATTACTTGAAATAAAATAAAAATGAACTGAAATAAAATATCAAATTATTTTATTTAATCAAGTTGCCAAGGCAACATTTCAAATTTTCCTTTAATTTGAAGTACTAAAATAACTAAAGAACTACAGACATATTTAAAACAACAACAACAATAAGTGACAAATACACAACAAAATGATTAAATCTTTACCTAAAATGAAAATATAAAATATTAACAAAATATTCACAGGGTGATTAAATGATGACAGAATTGTTATTTTTGGGTGAACTATCCCTTTAATTGAAATAAAGCTGAAATAAAATATAAAAAAATGATACTAAATGAAAATTGTGAAATGCTGACCTGGTAACTAACTGAAATAAGTTGAAGTTGAAGTATTTAAGTTGAAGTGTTTACTATTGTCCTCTTGCATTATCGACACACTATTTTCCTGTTTAACACTGTAAAGCTGCTTTGACACAATCTGTATTGTACAAAGTGCTATACAAATAAAGGTAAAGGGGACTTAACTAAAAACACTAATTGAAATAAAATTAAAAAATAACTAAAGAACTACAGACATATTTAAAACAACAACAACAATAAGTGACAAATACACAACAAAATGATTAAATCTTTACCTAAAATGAAAATATAAAATATTAACAAAATATTCACAGGGTGATTAAATGATGACAGAATTGTTATTTTTGGGTGAACTATCCCTTTAATTGAAATAAAGCTGAAATAAAATATAAAAAAATGATACTAAATGAAAATTGTGAAATGCTGACCTGGTAACTAACTGAAATAAGTATTTAAGTTGAAGTGTTTACTATTGTCCTCTTGCATTATCGACACACTATTTTCC